TCAGGAGCCCAGTGATATGGGAATTTTGGGTCAATTAGGGGATACTTTGGCCACCAATCTCTACAGAGATAAATCATATGTCTCTTTTCCAACCCATTAGTGTAGCACTTCAAATGTGGGGAAAACCATTGTTGTAATAGTTGTCCCAAAGGTGAATCACTTGGTATAGGTCTTCTGCCTTCTTTGCTAACCTCTATTTCATCCTTTAACTTCTTAACACCCTTACTCTGACTTTTCTCCATCTTCCCTTAGACTCCCAGAGTCTGACACCAGTCCGTAGTCCTCCAGCAGGCACTGGATCCTTCTCAAGGGTTTAAGGTCTTCCCTTAATCTTTATCTATCAACACATTGGAAAAGTCAATAGTTACCTGATCACTTCGGCCCGCTTTTCTCTTCTTAATTCTCAAACGGGTAATGAATGTGTGGGCGTCCCCAACTCAGGTCTCTCATTTCTCTGATAGTCCCAGACTATCCGCCGGCAATCACATTTCTGAGTCCGGTCGCGTCATTCAAATTGATTCGGGAGCCTTGTGGTGCCGAGGGAATCCGGGGAATGGGCTCCTCACAAATGGAGGTTGTGGCCACTACTCACCCGGTCCCCGTTCTCCCTACGACCGCCGTCAAGGCTCCTGCCTGGCTCGCCAGATTGTCAGATTGCATTCACACGAACATAATGGACACGACACGGATCCTCAGGAACGACTTTTATTCTCGTTTCTGCAGAAGCGGGTTCACACTCAAGGCAGCAGAGTGGAACCCCGAGCCCTTTTTGAGTCTTGCTTATATTCCTAAGCTACCGCCCCATCATACGATGGCTTGGTTTACAATCTACCTATCGGAAGCTGCCAACATACAATATTCCCTTATAAGGCTTATGCACTCGTACATCATGCGAACGGCGCATTATAGTTCAGGAGTTCACAATACTTCCTGCTTCCTCAAACCTGCTTCCTCAAACCTGCTTTTGAGACACAAAATACATCTTAACATTCAAAATGGATTCCCTCCTGTTTCCTGCTCACAGAATTATTATGCAACTAAACAAAAATTTGCAGATCTCATTCATTCATTTGCATGTTAAAGTGAGAATAATAAACACTCAAAATGTACTAATAAACATTTCTGACATTTCACACACACACAAAAGTCAGTGATCAATATAGCCACCCTTCTTTTCAGGAACCATAAGCCTTCCATTCATGGAGTCTATCAGTTTCTTAATTTTTTAATGATCAATTTTTATGCAGCAGCAACCAGTCTCCCAGACACAGTTCAGAGAAGTGTAGTATTTCTCTTTAATGTAAATCTCCCATTTAAGAAGGGCCCACAAGTTCTCCGTAGCAGTGGTCACCAGTGGGCTGCGGCCCACTGATGGTCCATAAGAAAATTCTGGTCTCTACAGAGAAATGCCCCCCCAAAGCAATTATTCCAGGTTGCGCAGGAACACCAGGCTGTGCTGCCCACGTGGCCCACCCACCTGCTGGCCCCCACCCTTCGGCCGAGCGCAAACCTGCAAAAAGCAGTGCAGCTCTCACTGGCCAGGACTAGGTAATGATGCCGTTGCATCAAGAGGGGGCTGGCAGCACAGGCAGGCTGAAGCAGTGATGGAGATGCCGGAAGGTGCAGGAGCGCCATGCTACTTGCATATGTGCGGCACTCCTGCACTTTCCAGCTCACTTCTCCTGGCTTGGGCTCTTCCTCAATGGTCACGGGCTGTAGAGTTGGCCTGGGGCAGGAAAAGTACCAGCTGGTGGTGGTAGGAGGGAGCGGAGTGGGCAAGTCTGCGCTCACTATCCAGTTCAGAAGTCTAGAATGGGGCATCAGTGTCAGTTGGCACTCTGCTCTGCTGTCCCCCCGCCCACCCATCGCTGGCCGGGGAAAGCACAGAAAGCGAGCAGAAATATAACTCTCACTGGGGCGAAAGAGCTGAGATTGAAGAAGGCACAGGCAAAAAATGCAAGCTGCTACATTTGAAAAACGCCGCTTTCTGTTGCCTGTGCCTTTCCCGATCTCTGCTTTTTCACCCCAACAAGAGCTATGTTTCTGCTCACTTTCTTTTCCTGTGCCTTCCCCGGGCAGCGATGGCTGGGGCCATGGAGGGGGCCGCAGAGACGTCAGGACTGTTCTCCCCACTCAGCAAGCCAGGCCTGGAGGAACATGAAGAATTGCGGGCGAGTGCCAGAGAAAGGCATGTTGGAAATGCCAACACACATTTCCAGCGCATTCTCTTCTGTCCCGAAGTAGGATTGAGTGGGGGGGGGAGGGAGCAGGGAGAAGGGTAGGAGGGCTGGCTTTCCTTTGGCATGGGGTGTGTGTGTGGGGGGAGACCAAACGCCCAGACCAAAAGAGCACTGAGGAAGACGGGCTCCTAATAACCAGCCTGTTTGTGCAGGCAAGAGCTCAAGCTTTTCTGGGCTCGACACACACACCCTTTGAACTTCACACAGGGAGGGACCTTTCCCTGCTTGGAAGCAGCACGAGAAAGTTGGAGCTTAGCCTCAGGGAGTCCTCTTATATGGAGGCCAAGGGGGGATGTTGCCTGGTTATTAGGAGCCTGTCTTCCTCGCGCTTCCAGCCTGGCCCTCCTTTCCTCCCCCAACTCTAGATAGCCACACCTGGCAAAGGAAAGAGAGGTTTCCTCTGAGTTGGGCGGGATATGAGTTGGGGGCGTGGGGCTCTGCTTTTCTTCAGTTTGAGGGGGAGCCACTTCCTCCCCATCCAGATCTTCCCTGCCTCCAGGCACTATGTGGCTTTCTTTTAAATCCTCCCTCTTTCCCCCCAAAGGATGAGAGAGGCCCCTCCTTTCCTTCGCTCTGCCCCACAGTTATGAATAACCATTTACAATTTTGTTATAATTAAACAAGCATTTTTATATTATATTTATATATATAAATTTAATATTAAATTTATATTTAATATAAAAATAAAAAAATTATATTACATTATTTTTAAAAAAATCGTATTAGTGGTCCTCAGGATTTAAAAGTATGAGTTTGATTGTCCCTGAGGTCCAAAAGGTTGGGGACCCCAGCTCCATAGGGTTTAGGTCAGATCCGGAAGGGGACCATATTATTCTTTCATCTTTAAACCCTTTAGTGGCTAGCCACACAGTGGAGTACTTTGATGCATGCGATGGAGCATTGTTCTGCACAAGAATCATGGTCTTCTTGAAAGATGCAGACTTATTCCCGTAACATTGCTTGAAGAACGTGTCTTCTAAAAACCGGTAGTAGGTTTGGGGAGTTGATTTTGAGTCCATCTTCAACCCAAAAATGTCCAACTAGCTCATCTTTAATAATACCAGCCCATAGTACCCTACCTCCAGCTTGCTGATGTCTGAGTCAAAGTGGAGCTCTGTGCCCATTACTGATCTAGCTACGGGCCCATCGATCTGGTCCGTCAAGAGTCACTCTCATCTCATCAGTCCATAAAACCTTTGAAAAATCTGTCTTCAAATATTTCTTGGCCCAGTCTTGCCATTTCAACTTCTATACCTTGTTCAGTGGTGGTCAGGTTTCAGTCTTCCTTACTTTAGCTATGTCTGAGCGCTGAAAACCTTGTACTTCTGGGCACTCCAGGTAGATTGCATCTGGATAATGGATTTCTGGTAGCTTCAAGTTCAATTCTTCTCAAAACTTTGGCAGTTAACATGTCTTTTTTTCTCAACATGTTTCTTACGACCATGTTGACCATGTTGACTGTTTGCAACAAAATGTTTGATGGTTCTGTGGTTCTCCCCAATATCTTAGCAATTTCAAGAGTGCTGCATCTCTCTGAAAGACTTTTTACAATTTTTGACTTTTTAGAGTCAATTAAATCTCTTTATTTGCCTATTTTACCTGAGGAAAAGAAGCTGCCGAATAATTATGCACACCTTGATATAGGGTGTTGATCTCCTCAGGTCACACCATCCCTCATTACATAAAAACACATCACCTGATATGCTTATATCCATTAAGCCAGGGCTGTCAAACTCCCAGCAGGTGGGCCAGATGCATCACATGCTGGCCATAGTCAAGCCCAATTTAGCAAAGGGGGAAAAAGTTCTGATACATCATGCGCACCTCCTTGACGATGTGAGTTTGACACTCCTGCACTAAACATTTAAGTTTATACAGCTTGGAGGGCGAAATATGCATTAAAATGACAATATGGTCAAAATACTCCCTTGCCTAATAACTGCGCACAATGTAAACCAACCATATTGTGGTTTAAAACAGTGGCCTTATTCCCACAAGAATACAATTGGTTTAATCCTCGCAACACAGGGATCCACAAACTATCTAACTGTATTAAGCCTTTTTGTGGATATTAGTTATTAAAATCTCTAGATCATCATCCCCGTCCAGGTGAGATCTACACCCATCCCTTTGGCTTGTGGAAAGGGCCTGAAAACCTGGCTCTGCCAACTGATCTGGGCTCCGATGGAAATGTGTCATTCTGGAGGTGGTTAATGGACTGAGGTAAGCCCCCATCTCCTCCCTGTGTATATCTGCTATATTCCTTCCCATTTTTGTTAATTTAAATCACGTTTAATGTTAATATTTATTGTTTTACTTATTGTAAGCTGCCTAGAGTCGCCCTAGGAGAGATGGGCAGCATATAAATCTAATAAACAAGCAAACAAACTATTCTCTAAATACTAAAACCAACCACGTATCAGAAAGCGAGTTCAATTGGGCTTACTCCCACAGAAGTGTAGGTATGCCTACCCCAACATAGTGCGCTCCAACTGAACCCCAGCACGCAGCTACCGCTTGTCTGAGGATGATGGAGTTTGTAATCCAAACCTTAGGAGTGGACCAGGCTGGGGAAGACTGCTCTACCCACTTACCTGGGAGTAAGTCACATTGAACTCAGTGAACCCTGTTTTCGGTTAGGCAGGCATAGGTTAGCGCGGTTAGGGCCTTCTTTTGACACGAGCCAGGCCAGTTTAATTAAGCCGATGCTTTCAGGTCGCCGGCCTGGCCCACAAGCGCCGCTTCTGCCGGGGAACTCACAGCGAATGGTGTGAAATGAGGCTTTAGGGTGCCGTTCGAAGCTTTCGCCCAGCTGCAGAGGATGCTCCTCCTTGTCCAGCAGCGGGTTCGCCACGCCGTTCATAGTTACTGCGGCGCCTGCCGAGAACAAGAACCCCCGCAGCCGCCCAGCTCCGCCTAGCCGCCTGCTCTTCCGGGCTCGGAGCAACGTGCAACTGGGAAAACACTCCCCGTCCGGGGGAACCGATCGAGAGGGACCACGGGGCTTGGTACTGTACGGTGTCGTAGTTTTGGGGCAGGGGGGATTCGGGAATTTTTTAGGGGGAAGAAGGGCGGGTGGCGGGACCAGGAAGGTCTTAGCGGGCACAAACAGGTAGATAGATATGAGGGAAGTGGTAGCACTAGACTGACGCATTTGGCCTCATATGCAAAGGTTCTTGAATTGTTAGCAGCTCTCAGTACCGGGAAATTTAATCCAGATCCATAATTGGCCTTTCTGCATGATACGCTCTTCCTCGGAGCTGAACGAGAATCGATCACCTGGGGACACTTTCTGTTGTGTTCGCTTGGAAAACAGGAATGTAAAAAGGTGTATAGAGACCCTATCAGATCAATAGATTTTATATTTAATTGATTTTAAGATATTTAATTGATATTTAATTGATTTTAAAACAGGTGAGGCTCCTACCAGGAAAATTCATCTCTTGGTAATTTCAGGTTGGGCTTTGAATACTTGATTTGGCTACAGACTGTAATTGGCTATTGCCTTTTTTCAAATTGTTGGGTACAGGTAGTCCTTGACTTACAACAGTTCATTTAGTAACCATTTGAAGTTAAAATGGCTCTGAAAAAAGTGACTTATGACTGTTTTACACACTTACGACCATTGCGGCATCCCCATGATCATGTGAGCAAAATTCAGACACTTGGCGACTGACCCATATTTATGATGGCTAGTGTCCCAGAATCATGTAATTACCTTTTGAGACCTTCTGACAAGCAAAGTCAATCGGGAAGCCAGATTCACTTAACCATGTTACTAACTTAAGAACTGGAGTGACTTACTTAACAAGTGAGGCAAGAAAAGTCATAAAATGGGGCAAAACTCATTTAACAAATGGCTCACTTAGCAACAGAAATGTTTGGCTCAACTTTGATCATAAGCTGAGGACTACCTCTAGTTTAGACTGGTGGTCTCTTTATTCAGAACTAAACAGAGGTCCTTTTCAAGGACTGCCTCTGCTTACTTCTGAACTTGAAATACTGTAATTCAACCAGGGTATACACATCAAACTAAACTGAAACTTGAATTACATCTGGGCTTAAAGTTCCATAAGAATCAAATTAATTTTTTCTAGTCCTTGGTAGTCAGTAGTAAAGAACTGTAACTGGTTACATTATTTCTCTTTGTGACCTGTCAATTAATGCAGAGCATGCTCTTTATATATTAATTAAAGTATGCTTTTAGAGCAGAGGTGTCAAACTCACGTCGTCACTTCAGCATCATGTGACATATCGGAACTTTTTCCCCTTCGCTAAATCGGGTAGGGGCAGGGGTAGCATGTGACGTATCCAGCCAGTGGACTGTGAGTTTGACACTCCTGTTTTAGAAGATGAAAGTAAGGGAAATGATGGTATTGTCAATGTTTTTATCATTTGGTATCCAGAGAAAATTGCAAAATAGTAACTTTTCTTTGTTGTGTTTTTACATCTAGTTCTTGTATGATATGTGATGTGGGCAATTATATAATTAAGGATTAATCCAACTTTGAATCTGCTGTCCAGTAATTAAGATGATTAAATCTGAAATTCTAAAAGGTCACTCATCTATTCCTCATACTGATGAGGTAATAATTGTTTGTGAAGATGGGTCTTTCCAAAAAAATGGGCAGAAGACAAGAATTCTAGGTCCTGAACAATTAGCCCCAAATCAGGTCTTAATATCTGACTTCAAGCAGCAGAAACTTGAGAAAGAAGCACAAAAGAACTGGGACCTATTCTACAAAAGGAACAGCACCAATTTTTTCAAAGACAGACACTGGACAACTAGAGAGTTTGAAGAATTAAAAGCCTGCCATAAAGTGAGTTTCACATTCTCTAGCACCAGAGGACAATAAAGAATTACTATAGAAAAATCTCTGAATTGGAAACCTCTAAATCATGGGTAACAAATTTGCCATGTCACATCGACATGTGACATTTCACAATGTTTTTTTCCCTTCACGGAGCCTGGGTGGGCATGGCCTGCACATGATGCATCCAGCCCGCAGGTCGCCAGTTTGACACTCCTAACTGATCTTATGCATGCTATAAAACATGCATGCTAGGCTGGTGCAATATATTTGTTTTGCACGTTCCATGATAAAATTGGGGATGGAAATTTTAATATTAATGTCAGTCAGTTCTTGGTACCAATTTGATTGAAGATGATTCATTTTTCTAGAGGTATCTGGTTCTAATTCCCAAAAGACAGGGTATTGTGCTGTTTGAAACAAGTATTCATTCAGTGAACAAATGGAGTTCCTGGACTATATTCTTAACATTTTGTCACTATCAAAAACAGTAAGGATTAGCTAAATTGTAAATGTTGATCTCTATTCAGAATGACACATCAAAATGATTAGATGAATTCTGGGCAAATTTGTCCAGTTTCTTGATAAAGTAACTTCCATAATTAAGTAATAACTAACTCATTTTCATATAAAATACAAAAATATCATGAATTCTGTTTTATATTTTTAATTTCAATACACTATCTTTGACTGATCTTATGCTTCTAATTGACTAAGATTCAGTTTGTTGTATGTATCAAGATGCAACACTTGAATAAATTGTATGACTTGAATCACAATACATGTTAGTTTTAGTTACTTTTAAATGAAGTGTTTCTTGCTTTTCAGTAAAACCACTATTTAATGGGAGTATAATAAAATCACCTTTTATTTTCGGTCATTAATTTGGGAATACATCTTTGTGGTGATTGGATAATCTGTTGTGTGGGATCCAGTGAATGGAGGTTCACTGTAATAAATTTGATTCTAATAGCTAATGTTATTAGTCCAAAAATTATTTCACTTTGAAAGGATCAGACAATTACAATTATTACTTTCTCATGTCTTCAGTTTGAAGATCAAAAATTGACAATTCTGGAAGCAGGTTGTGGTGTTGGGAACTGTTTATTTCCACTTCTAGAAGATTTGAATATGTTTGCTTATGCTTGTGACTTCTCTCCCCGAGCAGTGGAATATGTAAAGGTTAGTAAAATATTTGTCATTTTTTTGTTCCGTTAAGTGAATATATGCATTTTGAAAGATAAATGTCTTTAAAAATAAATGAAGAGAAAGCAAAAATGGCATCAAGACTTGGTATCATATTGATTTAGATTTGCTAAAATTAATTAGAATTAGATAATCATTATTAGCTGAAATCCTATTTTTAATGTCTATGCATAGCAATGTCAGTCTGTATTTAGTTTTTTTAAAAAAGTTTTTTATTTTTGACTTTTACAAACATCTTAGTGAACAGTGCAATTCCAAGTTTTTATATTTCCATACAAACATGACCATAATTACATATCTATCTCACATATTCAGTTTCTTATCATTACATTTTCCGTTTTCTATATATTTTCAAAAATATTATGTTTTTCACATTTATTTGATCCATTTTTAATTCATATCTTATTCTGTTTTTATTTCATTATACTCTTATCTTCTTTATATAGTATTTTAAATTCTTTATTTCTTAATCTATATTCATTGTATTTTTATACTTTTATCTGTCATATTAAAAATTTCATCATATATTCTTATTTCATTATTGAATAAATTCCATCTTAGTGTTAATAATTCCAAACATTTCCCCCTTAATTACCCATTTGAGTGCGCCACCTTTTTGTCTTGTACATCATTCAATTCACTCCCCTTTAACTCATTAAAATTACCATAATATAATCATTTTTAGTTATCACCTAAATACTACATATCACATATACATTTAGGTTAGATTCCACATGGTATTATTTTCTTTATTCTAAAATATTTATTTTTTCTAATACATTAATCTTTTCAGTTAAATAAAGAAACTGATTATTTATCTTTTTAGTACAATTCTCATAGTTCATTTTAACTATATTTTTAATTTCATTTAATGTAATTGACATTCTTATAATAATCCCATCTTTACATGTATCCCAGTTAATTTAACAATAATTCTTAGAAAATAATCAGACAATAATAAAAACATCAGTTCCAATCATTCCATTTTTTACAATCTATATTCTTATACCTCTTTATATCTTAGCTTGTAGAATCCCGTTTTTTATTCTCAATTTACCCATTATCTCTAGGTCTTCTAGCCATATAGCTTCTTTTTATTTTTTATTTTTGGCTTTCTATATCCCCTTCTTTCCTGGTCCTTTCCCTTATTCCTTTTTTCCTTTATTTTTTTATTTTTCCCCTCCATTTCTGACTCTATTTTTATCCCCTCCCTCTTTTGAACTTTCTCCTGTAGTTATCCTTTCTGCTGTTTCCTTTTTCTTTGTTTGACTTTCCTATCAATTGCCTCTTTAATTGTCCCCTCAGACCTCCAGGTTTTAATTTCCATGTTTTTTCCTCCTGTTTCAATGTTTGTTGTGTCATTTATTCATTGAGGTTGGCCTCTTCTTTAACCAACTCCTCCCCTTCTGGTTCTCCTTGTCCATCTTTCTTATCCAACGACACCAATTTCTAGCAGTAATACTGCACAATTCCACTTTTCTCCATATCATTTCCCTTATACTTCTTAAATCCGATTTTATTTCCAGACAGTATCCTGCCATTCTTGTGCACCTCTTTTAATTTTAATTTTTCTTTTACCTCTTTCTTCAGTATTTAAATCCAGTCCAGTTATCTAGTAGTTAATTTAATCCAGCTTCTAACCATCCACTTCTGTTAAATCCTATTTTGAGATTCCAGGGTCAGAATAGTCAAATGTTCATATATTTTTATTGTTAAGTTCCTTCTGTTGAGTTTTAAATTTTCCTCAAAGTCACCTAGTATTCCCAGAATTCAGGCTTCTTTCTTCTTCCTTCATAGTATAGTAATTTCACTTTTCAGGGTTTCTGTCTTATTGTTTCAAAGATCCTCTTACTTTGTGTCAAGTTCCGGTCTGTATAGAACCAAGCACTTTTTAAAAAGTCGTTGAAAATTTTCCTTTACCATGAGGTGGTGCTATCTGTTATTTCCAAGTTACCTTTTTCACTTTCCTTTCCCTTTTAGGGCTTTTAAATTTGAAAAATCCAGTAAATCCAATTGTTGTATATTTTTTCTTTTTGGCACATTCAAGTTCAGCTTTTAAGTATGCCTAGTGCTAATTGTATAATTTAGTATAATCCAATTTACACACATATTTTCCTCTTTCAATTTAATTCTTTTACTGTTCAAAGCACTTTCACTTATCTCCTAATTTTTTCCCCACTCCTTCTGGTCGCCGCTTTTCCAATCTTTTTTTAAAGTCTCTTTAAAGTTTTAAATCCGGGGTACCTTGTATTCAGATATTGCACTTAATTTGCCTGGTCTCCACACTGTCCGCTTCTTCACCACTCCTGCACAATCTTTGTCCCGGGTAGCTCTCCTTCTTCAGGGTAGCCATATTTAACCACCATTGCAGCCTGTCTTCGGGGGTAGTTTACCTAGTCAAGGAGTGGAGATGCGGCTCCCCTCAACCTGACAGGCAGTCTCCCCCTTTTTCCCCACCCCTTCAAGGTGGTTCTAACCCCATTTGGAGCCCTCTAACAGGTACAACATGGATCGAAGCCGTGCACGATTGCGGTCTTAAGTCCGCTCTCGAAGGAAATGCAACCGGAAATGAGTCAGTATTTAGGAACTAATACTTTTTCATTTGAACTACCTATTTATCAATTTCTTTAATTTGATATGATAGTTCATTAAATTATCTTAGCATGGAATTTGAGTTTTGTGCTCAGTAATTAAATATTACTCAGAAGATTGTGGAACAGAGCATCTAAATTATTTATTTCAAAATTTTGTAAGGCCACTTATGATGCTGAATCATTATAGTAAAAACAATTACATAATACAATGTAAGTTCCACACCAAAAGTTGGAAGAAATACATATTCATGTTTTCCCCAAAATAAGACCCTGTCTTATATTATTTTTGCAACCAAAAAAGGCACTAGGTCTTATTTTAGGGGGGGATGTCTTCCACTGACTCACGTCATTTGCACATGTTGCCTCTGGCCTCCTTTTCACTGTCAGAGGCCTTCAGGAACTACTTCTGTGGCCAGCAAGGCTTTCCTGAAGGCCTCTGCAGCCAATGACAAACCTCCAGATTGATCTGGAACTTTGTTATTGGTTGCAGAGGCCTTTAGGAAAGCCTGCCGGGTGCAGAAGAAATGGGTCGGCAAGGCAGTTGTCAGGGTGTGCAAGGCCTGGCTGCAACTATCTGAAGGTAAGTAGTAGACAGGTCCACACACACCCCATACCCACCCTAGCTGAATTTTTACCCGTGCATCCTGGAGTGGGTGGGGTCTTAATTAGGGCCTATATTGGGCACACTTGTAAAAATCAGATAATAAATAGCTTCAAAATATCCACTGTCTAAACCAGTATTTTCCAAACTTGGCAACTTTAAGTATAAAGATTTCAGCTCCCACAATTCCCTAGCAAGCCAAGCTATTCTCTAGAGGTACGAATGTCGTGGAGCCTTCCCATTCCATTCGTAACCCGAGGATTCATGAGAGTGAATCTTGTACCTTGATCAGGATCACTCCCTCCTTTTGCCCATGCATTCACTAATCAAATGTGAGGCTTGTTTAAGTTCACAGGTATTTCAGGGTGGGAAAGGCCATGGGGGGGCCTACTAATAGAACAGGCCACCTGCCCAAGGACACCCAAGGCCTCCCTGACCCACTGAAATAACTCATGCTCCCCACAATTGCTTCCACTCCCAACCTGCCATACAGGCTCACTTACCTTGTGAAGATCTAGCTAGCAATCTCCTCTCAGCCTCTCAGCTGCATGTGCCCCTCTGCAGTTCCGTTCAAGCCTTTGTAGGCCTTTCCTGGCAGGCTGCCAGCTGAAATGGAGCTCCTGAAAGGCGAATCTGCCCCCCCAACCCTCCGTTTAGCCTTCCGCAGGCCTTGTGTGGTATGTTGCAGGCTGAAATGGAGCTTTCAGGGGGACATCCGGCCCTCCAATGCTCTGTTTGGGTCTCCGCAGGCCTCCCCCAGTCCATTGCAGGCAGAAATGGAGCTTCCAAGGGGCAGATCTACCCCACAGAAGCTCCATTTCGGCATGCAACAGGCCAGGTGAGGGCTCGATCTTCACAAGGTAAGTGACCTAGCGCAACAGGTTGGGTGGGTGGGAAAGGAGCTTGTGAGGGGCAGAAAGCCCCTCAGAAGCTCCATTTTGGCTACAACTTGCCAGGTAGAGCTTCTGAGGGGCAGATCTGCTCCTCACAAGCTCCATTTTGGCCTGCAACTTGCCAGGTGAGGGTCCAGCGACCCGAAAGGAGCGTCAGAGTGGTGGGTCCACCCCTCGGAAACTCCATTTTGCCCAGCAATGATCAGGACAAATGTTGCAGAGCCTCTGCAGTTGTTTGTAAGGGCAAACAACTGCCTTGGTGCTGCAAAATTTGTAGTTTGGGGACTTGTTTGCAAGTGCTAGGGGACACTTATAATGTAACTTTGAACATTCACAAAGAGAACCCAGGGATTACCTATATCATTCTGCATTTTATTCTTCTGTATGATTTACTGTGATAGCTTCAGGTTTCAAAATGTAAACTTAAATAAGATTGTACTATATTTTTCTATGTTCATTTGACAGCAAAATCCTCTATATGATGCCAAAAGATGCAAAGTATTCCTGTGTGACCTGACCAAAGATGATCTTGTGGAAAATGTACCATTAGAGTCAGTGGATGTGGTTATGTTAATATTTGTACTTTCTGCCATTCATCCTGAAAAGATGCATTTCGTTTTGAACAATATTTACAAGGCAAGTCTGCGTGGCTCTAATATGTTTTTTGCCCTAAGAATGTATTTCTGCTTTGAAAAGTTGTAATATAGAATCTGCGCGATAATTGTCTTAAATGCAAACTAAGGTTATTCTCGGATTCAAGGAAATGATGGCAACTGATTCAAACTGTGAAATGTGTTTTAGGACAACTGTGAAATTTATTTTTCTACTGTAATAATTAATATGGAATGATATTTGAATAAAAGTCAATCATTTTAAACTCTTTCATAATGAAATGAAATTGTATGAAGTCTGTTTAACAGGACCAAGCCAAAGTGGCATAAAATGTTCCGCTTTTATCATTACATGATTTTGGGTGTTAATTAAGTCCAGCTTAATATGTTTCATATTTTTCTCAGGTATTAAAACCAGGTAAATATGTCCTATTCAGAGATTATGGCCTTCATGATCATGCAATGCTGAGGTTTAAATCTGCTTGCAAGCTGGGAGAAAACTTCTACGTACGACAAGATGGAACCAGGTCATACTTTTTTTCTGATGGTGAGATCTTAATTAAGATATTATATAATATATATATCAGTATAGGAAACATGCAACAAATACTGAAAAACAGGAAAAATTTACAAAACAAAAATCTGTCAAAACAAAAATACAATTTATTTTTATAGTAATTTATAAATAAAGCCAAGATATTTGTATTGAAAGGTTTTCTACAGTACAAACGTACTGATGAAGAAAATAATTTGTTCAACATAAAAGAAAGTAGATATGTTTAAACATAAAAAAAGCTGCAAACAGCAGCCTCAACATCAGAAAAAGTTATTTAACAAGTGTTAACATTCATTTTGGTATGTATATAATCCTTTTCTAATAATGTAAGTTTGTGTAAGTCCAAATTTAATAATAATCACTACAAAGTATAAACCTAAAGAAACTAGGTCCTCCAATGTTCCTTTTATACCCAATTTCAGCAATTTAGATTTAAGGATTTCTTTCGTAAGATAATACTTTCTCGTATTCTTGAAAGCAATGAGAATCTGACTAAATCAGCATTTCTCAATCTTTGTAACTTTCAGATATTCTGATTCCAACTTTCAGACGAATAGGATCTGAAGTCGTCATATCTAAAAGCTGCTGAGATTGTGAAACACTGGACTAAATTATATTAAAAAGTTTAATCCAGCTTCTTACTCGCTATGGGTGGGCAGGTGCATAGGGAAGCCCCAAGTAGGACAACCTACTCCTACTTCTTTTCAAAGAAATAAAAAAGTTATTGACTCTGACTGTCAAATGGTAATACAAGATAAAAATGTGAAGGCAGTCTCATATAATAATAATTTGTAACATACCCAGAGTCACCTTGTAAAGGTAATGAGCAGCACAGAAATTTAACAAATAAATAAAATATAACCCATTCAGATATATTTCTATTTTATAACCAGCTGCAAAAGGATATGACAATTACCCAATTTCAGTGAGAGCTATCTTTTAAGCTGAGTTCTGCTGCCTCAAATAATATCCAGGTTTTCTCAAAAAATACTTTATTAAAAAACTATAGTGACAGGTAATGATACCTAGATTATTATTTAAAAGATATATCTTAAGTGCGTCATAAAGGAGCAATCCATATTTAGCAGTTTTCTTGGGTAAATGGAAGGAAAATCTGACTTTGGATATTGCATCATTTTCTGCATTGATGCCTGTCTTTTTTAAACAATCAACAAAATCATTTTTCATTTTTTGTTTTGAGGAGAATAACTTGCCTATTTAGTATTTGTATAATTTCATCTTTGTAGTTTAATACAAGTTTCTTAAAAATATTCTTCCTTCTAGAGTTTTTGGCAGAACTTTTCCTGTCTGTGGGATATGAGGAAATAATCAATGAATATGTGTTTCGAGAAACTCTGAACAAAAAGGAAAATATATGTGTGCCAAGAGTTTTTCTCCAAAGCAAATTTCGAAAGCCTCTGAAATAAATTTTTGGTGAAAAGTTGTTAGATAGTTGAAGTTCAAGACTACTTTCTTATGTTACTCAGTTTAAACCAAGTTTTATATCAAGCCCGTGGGCCAAAATAAGCCTAGCACTTGTTAGTCCTCTTTTATTGATACAATACTGAAGACAGTGGAAGATTCTGCTTCTATTTTAAGTATAATTCAATAATTTTGGGATTAAACTACCAGCTTTCAAATTTGTAATTCAGGATCAGATTCCAGAAGTGTGGCTAGCCTCATATATCGTATTTTTCGGACTATAAGACACACTTTTTTCCCACCCAAAAGTGATGGAAATGTTTGTGCGCCTTATAGAGCGAATGCTGCTGAAGCCCCGCCCACCCCCTCCCCCCCCCCCCCCCGCCCCTGCCTCCCAGCAATTTGCCTCCTTGCAGGAAACAGCCTGGTCAGCTTCAACACAGCCTGATTTAGCACGAGCAGCTGATTGGTAGTTGGATCAACCTCCCAGAATACCATCGATCAGCTGTTCCAGGCTGTGGGGATCGTCGCCACCCATTGCTGCTGCCATCTATTGCCACCTCCACGCACCCCATTTTTTGCCTCTGCACATCCCATTTTCAGGTTCTGCGTGCCCTGGAATGGGCTGAAAATGGGATGCACAGAGGCTGAAAATGGGGCAAGTGGAGGTGGCGATAGGTGGCAGCAGCAATGGGTGGTGCTGGCACCGATGGGTGGTTTTGATCCCTGCATCCTGGAACAGGAGATTGGTGGTATTCCGGGAAACAGATCCAACCGCCAATCAGCTGCTTGTGCTAAATCAGGCTATGCTGAAGCTGACCAGGCTGTTTGCTGTTTGCTGCAAGGAGGCAGAGGCAGTTTTTTTTCCTTTGTTTTTCTCCCCAAATGCTTGGTGTGTCTTATTGTTCAGGGCATTTTAGAATCTGAAAAATATTGCATACACAGTGCCTGAGTTCACATGACAGTTTTGTTGATACAACACAGTGAGCCAGTACTAGCTTACTATATCTACTTAGTCTAACTTGATGAGCATACCTAGCCAGTATGGTTGGTTAGTTTATAATTCAGTGTGACTTTTAAACCCAAAGTTTTTGTTTTGTCAACCCATTCTAGCCATAGTTGTAGAAATAGTATGTCACTAAGCCTGTAGTTTAGTTTGTGGATTATGAGCCCTTTTGTGGGTTATGAATCTTAAATCGTGATTTCATATTTTGTACAATCCCAGCTAATGGTGGTTCTTTTAATTCATTGTTAATTGTAGTTCATCCTAATGAAAGCCAGCTAGGTGACCTGATCTTGGGCCAGTCATTCTATCTCAGCCCAACCCACCTCTAAAGGTTATTGTTGAGGGAAAAACAGGAGGAAGATGTATTGAATATGTTTGTATCTTGAGTTATTTGTAAAAATAATAAAGGCAGGAAATAGAAGATGGATGGATGGATGGATGGATGGATGGATAGATAGATAGATAGATAGATAGATAGATAGATAGATAGATAGATAGATAGATAGATAGATAGTCTGAATTCAGCTAATGTTAGATAGGCATATTGGATGCCAAAATTAGGATACCCTTGAAAGATAGGTATTCATACACATACATCTTGCTCATACACTTTTGAACAAAATATTTTTGTATATGTGTTCCTGAAGTCCTTACCTTTGATGGTATTGAACGAGAGAATTTATAATGTGTTCTGAGAATTCTAATGATTGAAGTGTTTCTGTTTTCACATGATTTTGATCCTAGTTTTTTGGTGCCTGTCCCAAAAGTTAGGGTCAGAATCACATGAGTGCAGCTACATGATTGCAATTTCTAATCAAACAAACTCAACAATGAGGAAACCGGGAAGAAGTCAGAAGTTCCAGTGATATGAGGTTCTCACATAGTCCCCACTTAAAAATGATAGCTATATAAATGATAGCTTATTTTTATAAAATAAGCTAAGTGCAATGATAAGAGAGGGGTTTAGAAATTGAACAGCAATAATACTATGTATGTTTAAACAATATGAAATAATTAAAGATTATAATTTGGTATAAATGTGTATTACTATTAGAAATATATAAGCTGGATGAATGTGATAACTATGATTAATAATATTATTTTATTTGTATTGAAATGTATGGTACCCAGGTGTCACACGTTGATATGTATATGTAATATAAAATAAAAAAAAACTTGATATAAAAAATGATAGCTCTATAATAAGAATTGCTCTTGTTATATAACACAGTTATATGACTGCATCACAGTGATAGCATTTCTGGTTCCATTGCCACTGAACAAACTAAATATTGTAAATTAGAGGAACAAGCAAATGCTTCCTTGAATGCAGAAGGCAGTTGTCTGCCATCAGACAGGAAAACAAATTTTGATTGATAGAGCTGGAATGAAGCTAGAACTTCTATTTAGCATTATTTGACTATATTGACATGCTCATTTGGAGACCTAGCTATGTCCACACAATTCATTAACCCAGTTTAAGTGAACCATTGTCAATATTCAAAAACACATTCAAACATAGATCATACTGGCTGAAATAACTCAATGCACTAAGACACAAACCCAAATGAGGGGTATTGTCATTGATATTGGTATGGTTCAACTTATTAGACTAAACTAAATTTGTGTATATTTCAGGGTTTTCTTTCCACTTGAAATGGAGAAAGTTGTTAAAGGAGGATGAGCAAAAATGATGGTTACTTCTGTTCTAATTAAGAACAGGCTTCAGTGTCTTCAGTTTTCTGGCAATAGGTAATAGGAAGCAAGCAGGGTGTGTTTGAAATATTTCATTAATGTTGGTGTTACAACTTCTTGCATCCAGAGTGTAATGAGCCAAAATTATGTCCCAAGTTAGGCAACTTATTATTTTTTAAATGTTGCAAAAGCTGGGCTCTCTTATTACACTAAATATTTGCTTAACTATGATTAATTGACCAAACTGCAATTGGCTTAGTCTTTATAGCATTAAATAACAAAAATGTTGGATTAGACATGAGTCGAGAGGTCTGTGATAGGAATCTCCTGATCTCCTTCGCCCAAATAGATGGGAAATCTGGGCCATGTGGCCCTTGATCAAATTGCAAAATCATTCTAATAATCGTTATGTCTTGGATCAAAACAATCTGTCTCTTGTGCTGGCAGCCCATTAGGCACGAAGTGAGAGGGAGGGCGGGAGAAATAGACGTTAAAAAAAGAAGGCTGGCAGAAAAAGAGTAAGGGGAAAAGGTGGTTCTGTTCACTCTAGGCTATGCTTTCCCTTTCACATAATTTTATGAAATCACAATGTTCATTCAGGTTTAAAATCACTTAGCAGGAAAGCCAAATTTCAGCCAGGTCATGGTAGTGGGCTGAAAAGCTAATATTTTATTCTTCTTGAGTTATATTCCCCATTATCATTTTATGAAACTTATAAGTCACAAGAGATTAGAAAAATGGGGTAGGTACCTTCTCTTTATTTATTGTTGGGATAAAAACTTGTATGAAGAAAGCTTTACAAATCTAGTGAGTGTATTTTGAAAACTCTGGTTTAAAGCTTAATGGGTTGTCATCCCAGTCAGCCATTTTACTCAGGTTAAGGAAACCATGACTTAGTGAATGGACACTGCCATTGTAACTTAATTAAGAAACCATGTTTAAAACCAAATAATGCCTAGAATGATATATTGACCTGGTACTAAATTTAATATTTGAATATTTCAATCAATTCTTGAATTATTCAAAAGTTGATTGGTAAAAAGAGCATAATTTGGATATCGTATAGTTCATAGCTAATTAGTTCATGCTTTTCTTTTTGATCAGGGTTATATTCAATTTCATTCATGCTACAGTATAGTTTTTTATAGCACCGAAGAAGACAGTGTGGTACTCTAGGGTGGAATGTATTTGTACTATATGTTGTTGGGATGATTATTTAGTAACTGTTTTCAAAACAATTTCAGAGATAGTCTCACTTTAACTGGGCTCCTGTGATATCACCAGTCCATGCAGGGAATCTCTGTGCAAAATTGTGACATAACCAATCTTTCTACATTTCTGTTACATCGATCATTTTTTGTTTTGTTATGTATTCAGTTTACTTTCATTCACATATCTTATTATTTGTTACTAAAGTTATAAAAAATTTATTGTTGATTCTTCTGTCTGAAAGGCAGGGCCTGCAAATGTACAACTGGCTCAGTGGCTCCTAAACTTCTTTATTGTTATATAACGTTAAGAGTGGCAGACTAAAATTACATGGTAACAAGTGGAGGAAAAAATCCCATTTTTGCTGTTAAGAGGTCACTTAATTAGATCACAATAGTGATCTAGGAGCTGTATTTCATCATTCAGAAGATCCAAAATAAAGTGCACTGACTAAGTATTAGTTTGTTTTTTCCCATTCTACCATTAGGAATGGATCCTTACACGGTGCTCCTTACTCTGTGATCCAGGACCCAAAGTTTTAGTAGTACTACTTTGGGAATTGGAACTTCCCACTGTTTTCTTAACTTTGATATCAAAAAAGTGTCCTCTCTTCTATAAAGGAACATAACTTCTGCTAATATCTATTTATTATCTCTTTGCCAAGGCACGATACAAATCTCTGTAACATAGTAATTATAAAATTACACATTGAGGATCACTGTGTTACTAAGAAAAGTATTCATTATGAAGTTGGGAATTCTAATTAGTTAAAATGTTGCATAATTGTTTTAGTACCTTCACAGTGCTCACATGTTTCCTGAAAGCATTCATAGTGACTATTTGTTTTAGAAAATGTTTAATCCAGACCCCTCATCAGGCTTTTGTGGGGATCTAGTACATATACCAATGTCTTTACTCTGTAGAACATCTTTATTGTTTTTCTTCATACTTTCGCAGCAGTACTTTTTCAGCATGATCTAGAGCAGGGGTCGCCAATCTTTTGGACTTCAGGGACCACCGAACTCACAATTTTAAATCCCGGGGACCACTAATATGAATTTTGACTGACCGTGACTTGCTGACATTGGTGGAAGAGAGATCAAGATCTAATGTAACCTCTCTCTTTCTCTTTCTCTCTCCCTCTCTCTCTTTCTCTCCCCCCCCCTCTCTCTCACACACACACACAGAGACAGGTGGGATTCAAATTTCTTAACAACCAGTTCTGGGGTGTGGCCTAATTTGTGAATGTGGCTTGGTGGTCATGTGACTGGCTGGGCATGGCTTGTGTGTAAATATAAATATTTATGTAAATATTGAAT